AACATATATCGTGAATTACCAACATAGTATGTACCGAAGTAGACAAAGCACAAAATAAATGTTCAGAAAAGTGGAAGATTTTTAGAATTTTTCAAAAATGTTAACATATTTTAGAATTCTAAGAATTTTCTAGGTTTTATACACAAGTACCATGAACATAAGAATTGTTCGGTAATTTGTGATGTTTCACATCTTTACATTTTAGGATGGATTTCAGAATAAATAAAATTCTCAAAATTTGACAAAACAATTTAACAAATTTAATATAAACATTTCTAAAATCTCAATAATTTTGTACATTTCAAAATATTCTCATTTTAAAAAAATTTCTTGATTCTTCCAGATTTCTAATTTTTAAAATTTTGGAAATTATCCTAATAATATTCTAATAATTTCATAAAATTCCAAATTTTGGAATTTTTGTTATTTTCTAAACCTGCGAAAATATTCAAACTTGCTGTGACTTTCAACTATGTAAAATAGTACAAATTCGAAAATACAACAAAAAAGTAAAAATATAAAATTAAGTAATTTGAAAATTCGGTGAATTCGAAGAACTGATAGGAATTTTTCACCATTGTGTTATATGATAAAAATATAATTTTTCAGAAAAACAACGAAATTGATCGATCATTGCGCAATTATGCGGACGCAGATAGGTCAATAATCGCGCAATTTTGTAAGTGCTCACAATGTTGCAGGAAAATCGCACTCACGAGTTTTCACAGGGCGGCTTAATTCTTTTTTTTCTACAAAAATGTATAATATTAAAACTGGTACTCGTTCCAAAAAGGGTATTTTTACCTTAATGGTAAAAAGATAATTTTTCAATTCTCTGGGCACACGCCAGACATCTGCAGCGGGTGCATGATTTTCGTGTATACTCGATCATCTAACAAAACCCGTTTTGCATCGTTCTCTGTATACGAGCAGAAGTATTGTTCGTTATCGACTGAGCTCAAGACGAACATGTTGGCCACAACACCCGATTGCTTTTCATACATACTTGATTGGGTTCGGGTGCTTTGCAGCTCAATATACCCGGGTGTTCGAGTTTCAACCCGAGTGTGCACAAAATTTTCTTGATTGGCTTATGACGTTTTTGTTTCTACAAAAAATGTTGCCTTCTCATCGCGGTGTTCTTAGTTTTTGTGCGTAGAGGGCAAAGAGAACGTTGAATTTTTCGGTAGTTTGTTTAAGTGTACATTTAACCATTTCTTATATTTTTGCTCATACAAAATGCGACATCACGACGCCTACATCCATTTAGGTATAATTGTGTGTAGATCGGCATTGCCCAAGCCCTATACACTCGGTGCACATTTATTTTTTGTAAAAGTACTTATGTACTATGTAGATGTACATAGTTTTAGGCTGTGTGTTCTAGTATATACTCACACAGCTTTCCACGCGAAACTATACGAAATAGATGCAAAAAACATTTTTGTCTACTTCGCTTCTAATTTTTTCATTGCGTATGCACAAGCACAAAGCAACAACATTTTCGTATGCTTTGTGGGAATATATTGGCGCCAGTTACCTTCAGCGTAAATTTCTTTGTTGTCCTGCATTTTATCGCAATGTTCGGGTGTCCGTTTCATTGTTACACAAATTTTCGGGTTAGCTGCGGGTGTCCGAGTGTGGTGTTCGCTTGTGCTCAATTTATAGCGAGGGTAATCGAACAGACTCGTTCGTAACCAAAGCAGCTGTCGGGTATGCATCTCGATCGAACACATAGTAGCCGAGTGTGGCGTTCGCTTGTGCTTGATTTTTAGTGAGTGTGATCAAAAAGGCTCGATCATACTCAAAGCTGTTCTCTGGCACACGCACAACTTAGTTAATTGCACTGCTTTATTTTTAATATGGGGATTAGGGGCCAAGCAAACCAAACCAAAACTCATGAAACAAGAAAAAAACTATCAGTATTTTCTTTAAGTTTTCCTAAAAATTACACTGTACAGCACTCGGCTGGTTATGGGCCAAACCAATTTTTTTTTAAGAGATTGAGTCATAATTAAAAAAGTAATTTCTGCGTATGGGCATTCGAAGTTCGAAATTGCACCTTTGGTAAAAAATTAGTTTTAATTAATGCATGTAAACTACTAAAAAATTAAAAAAATAGTCGTGGTACGCCTTTTGCTCTTATTTAAACGGTATATGTATATTAAAAGACACATTTAAATATATGATTTATAATAAACAAATCTTTGGTAATATCACTAAATATTAAAATATAATTTTATATGTTAAAAGAAAAAAAGGTTCTGCAGGCGAACATTTGGAAGAACGTATCGCGCTATCTTTTATTCATAACTTTCATTTTATATTAAAATATCAATACAGTTGTTTTATTTCGCTGTTGGCAGTTGTCCTTAAACCTAACTATATAAAATTATATATCCAATGAAAGGTATTTTTATGCTCTTTCTAGTAAATGTATGTCCGTTAATATAGTAGTTTATGTAGTTACTTACGTATTTTTTTAATAAACACATACGATTTTATTTAAATATTTTGACAGAGAACTTTGGTGTCGAATTAATTTGGACTACAAATATACCCCATTAAATGAATTTTTCTGTAAACAAATCTATTTACCTAAAGAAACCAAAAATCAGCTGTTTTTGTTCACACATCGTGAATAATCCTATTGCGTCGATGCATAAGGTTGGTAATACTGATAAATTTGGTTGCATGCGAAGCATAATCAGCCTTAAGTTTTGTAAAGTTGTGTTACGTTTAAGAAGTTGTGCGAAGTTATGCGAAGTATGCATTATCAGACCTTTATTCTGGTGCGCGCGTCGTTAATTAAAATATATAAATTTTTTGATTCCAGACAACCGGGCGTATCTCAATGGATACATAATTCAAACTAGTTATAATATAAGTGTGTATGCACTACACACAAACCTATAAGTACATAAGCTTTAGATCTAATCCAATACGTCTTTTGATAAAATTCGTGTCGATAAAAAATACTATCGGTTCACACTCGATTTCAAATCGGTATTTGATTTCTCCAGACAATTCGAAAGAGAGAGAATTAGAAAGAGAGTATAAACACCACTCACACTCAAACCAAATTATAAATCAGCTGTTTCACTCAAAGTAGCGTCCGAACAGTGTTACCATAAAAAACTATCTCACAGCAAGCAATTGTATTTTTAATGAAAAAAAGTAAATGCCAACTTGAAAATGGTTAAAAGTTATTCATCATTTAACATTATAACCGGTGTTCAAAAGAGAGAAATGTCAAAATCACTTCTACCTTATTTAATATGCGGGAAGAAAACATGCATTTTATGTCGAACGCACTTTTTATTTTGACATCAGCGCCACCAGCGGTTCCTTTTTTGCAAATGTATGTATGTTTTACTACATAGTATGTACTAGTAGTATCTGTTACGTTTCGAAAGTTTCAAAAACATATATTTGTTTTCTTATTGCTTATTTTTTCAAATAAGGATTTAAAAAAGGGACGGAAAGAGGCGGTCGATTTTTTTAAAGATATATTAAGTAAAAGGTCTGTAGAATATGCCGATATATTCAACTTAGCTTAACTCGCACTTATAATTACCATGGAAAATAAAATATCATTATAAATTCGCCCGAAAAAATACTTTTCAATGCGAACCAAGATTAAACGATACAAAATTTTTTTTTTTAAATAACATGTACTAAATAAACTATGTAAATGAATTTGTGAGAGCTTTGGGAATTTGTACTTAACACAACTGTTTTATAAAGCAATAAGCACGACTATGAAATTCTTTAATTTCAAAAATTAAAATTCGACTATCACAACATACAAGTTTGAACTCGTGGACATGCGGTAAGGAAGGTACCCCCGAGGTATAACCCCATAGTCTGATGTGGAGCGTTCCCTATTACCCAAAAAAACACTCAGGTAAACTTTAACTTGAATTTTGTAATTTGGACTTTTGGCCAGCTTTTAGAGTAAGAAATACCCCTATGTGCGTCGCTAAACTTCGACCTAGTACCACGATTACCATGCGACATGTAGTTTGACAATTACCATGCGAATAACGAACAAATCGCTATCGTCTCTCATTTTTATCGGAAATTTATCGAAACCAATTCACAAAGCAAAACTGACACTTTTTCCTGCGTACTAGAATTAAAGCTAAGGGTCTGATTATGCATACTTCGCATAACTTCGCACAACCATTTGTACCAGCGCAATAAAAATGTAACTTAAGAAAATGTGAAGCAAAATCTAAACTAAACAGATCGCTATGTTTTTAAAAGTTCTGCTAATTTCTGGGTAATGGAATACATACAAAATACATACAAAGTACATACGAAATTACAGTTTGAAGTTTATGCGAAGTATGCATAATCAGACCATAATAAATGTGTACATCACCAATTTAATGCAGAAGTTTATAAATTTTTAGCAATAACTTACATTTTTCATCAATTTTGTAGCAAAGAAAAAAACCAAACACAGAGACAGAGGACTGTCAAAGCAAATTAAGAATGTGCCCGTGGGAATGGGGTAATTCGCGATCGTAATTAGGGGAGCGAACAAAGTAATTCAGTGCTGTGGGAAGGCCGTATAAAAATGCATGCATGCGCGGCAATGCAAACTATTAGAAAATTTATTTAGAAAAAAATCGAAACTTGCTATGTATATGACGAAGCTATTAAGGGAGAGATTTGAGCGTAAACAGTACTTTTTAAGAGCTAGCAACAGCGGCAACACTCAAAGCTTAGTGAACGTGTTTTTGGGCTACGTATATACATATGTATGTATGCAAGTACGCGGTAAGTGTGTGTAAGTATTTCTTGGCGGTGAGTGGGGGCCACGTTGGCAAATTCAATAATGTCGCATAATAACAACAGTATGTAGAACTAATTGTAAGTAATGCCGCATGTACGATTATATGTAGATATTTAATTCACAAACACAGTAGTTTTAATCTTACGCAAAATATTGGTTTAGTTAAGTTCAACACGAGCTGGAAATACTTCATTACCTGGTCCACGTTCTGGTAGTTTTGTGACATTGCCATTCGAGTTGGCACGTGAGTAGAACTTATTACCACTAGCCATTTTCTCTTTTCTGTGTTTCTTTTTTTTCTTTTTTTTTATAAAGGAAGGATGAAGGGTATTCAGTTGCGGATACACTTATGCGGTGTTTGTGTGTTCAATTCTCCTTTCTCTTGAACTAAGAGGCGTCAGTCGCATGAAATTGCGTGTTAAAGTATAATAAGAAAAAAACACTTCCAGCTTTATTTGTTGTTATTTATACCAGCTAAATGCGAAGTCTGACAATTTCATAAAGTAGTACGAATTTTTAAACAAAAATAATTAAAACACGAACTGCAGACCGACCGACGATTTTTTTACACCGATGAACACTTGAAGACTGAAATAAGCAGTAAGTGGATAGCGAGTTAAGACAAGCAGCCCACAACAGTAAAAAGCTGAAAAAAAATCGAAACTAAATTCAGTTGAAACCTGAAGATACAAGCTTGCCAGCTTGATTGCTTGTTTGGAATTCGTAAGCGTGCTACTCAGTTTATTCATACTTTTACCTTCCACCTGCCCCACTTCCTTGGCTTTCTGTGGATTTTAGGCTCTGTTATGCATACTTGGCATTGCTTGAGAGTTGTCATATAAGGAATCTGTTAAATGAGCTTCGCGTGTAAGCGGTTACCCAACGCACAGCATTACATACGTAAAAGTATGTTGGTTTTTGATTTCTACGTAAAAATGGTATAGCAGTGCATGCAATGCCAAGTATGCATAACAGAGCCTTTACTCTCTATTCCACTTTTATCTCCACTTCGTAAGCAAATCTGAAACATATTGATGTCCCAATCAGCGTTAGAACTTCACTACGATCGTAGTAGATTTACTACGATTTTTGAGGGAAGTAAGAAATTTACTGCGCTACCACGATCTACTTCGATTTTCTTACAAAAATAATAAAGTGCACTTATTGCAGAAGCATTCACTTTCAATAAAAGTGTGAAACTCGGATCAATTTGCATACATTAAGATAAATAATTTATGCCTGAAGAGTTAACTAAATTTTGGTATTACCAAACTCTGTATATATGTAAAAGAAATTATCACTGGTTGACGTTTTTACAGGAAAAATGCTTCTTTTGTTCCCGTACTTTTTGTTGTTACTCACTTCACAGAGTAATTTTGCTGTTGGACATTTTTACAGGATTTTACACGAAAAGTATTGGATCAGAGCTATAGATGCTTAAGTGAGTATATATAAATAAGTATAGCCGTAGGAAAACAATTGAAGGATATTAATTGTGATGCATATTTTTCAACATAAATGACAACACACATTTATGCATACTTTACTAAAATAAAACAAATCGTTTTGGATTATGACGTTTGTCCAGCAAACGAGCGATACATAAAAAATCTACTATGGAAATTTTTTTTTTTTTCTGTTACAAATTTTTACCTCATATACTACGGTTTAGGCTTGCCGTAGTTCTAACCCAACAAAAGTTTAAACGAGTTTTGAGTTCAAAATGCTCCCGCTCCATAATAAGAACACTGAATTTAACCATACTTTACTAAGCAGTTCCCAGAGTATAAGTAAGCGAGTGTAAATTTGTTTGAGTAGGAAGACAACACATTGATTAATAGTGTTGCTTGTTTGCAATGGCGACTAGTTAGTTATTAAAACAAAGTAGCCAATATGGCTTCAGTTATACATATATAGTATATACATATGTGCAAACAGTGGTGAAGAAAATAATATGAGTGCAACATTTTGACTAATGGCCTTATTAGAGTGGTTCAAACAAATTTTTTTTTTGGAAATTATTGTTATTTGTGATAAAAAAAGAGAAACGTATTTTTTTATTTTGAAAAAAAGTTTTCTTAGAGGTCGCGCTGGTCGGTTTTTTATAAAAACGCTGATATTCAAAATTTTTTATTTTCTTGACATGTTAAAATGCAGCTAAAAATTTGTTTTTTTTACATATAATTACTTTGGTATTATTGGGGAACATTCCCTTAATTACATACCTGTCTTGGGCAGTTAGAATGGGCCTAGTGCCCCAAAATATGCTCTCGAAAAGGGACTAGTAAAATTAAAACGCTGATACTGAACGACTTAAGCATTGTCATGGGTTGAAACTTGTTACTCGGGGGTTTCTGGCGTTGCTAATTGGGGATCTGAACTCAGTTTTTCGAAATTCAAAATGGCGGATCCAAAATGGCGGTCCATTTTTTTTTTAATGATTGGATTTGTTCGAAACCCGACACTCAAGAGTTCTTGTGGTCGCCGATTACGAATCTGAAGTCAATTTTTTTTAATTCAAAATGGCGGATCCAATATGGCGATCAAATAAAAAGAGTACTAAAATTAAAACGTTGATAATTATAAAAAAACCAACCAGCGCGACCTCTAAGAAAACTTTGTTTTTTTTTTCAAAATAAAAAAATACGTTTCTCTTTTTTTATCACAAATAACAATAATTTGAGGTAGCGTTTATGAATTTCAAAAGGAGTGTTTTTATGAACCACTCTAGGCCTTATTCATAAAAAATAAAGTAGATTTAAAAAGCTTTATGAACCTTTTGTAAGGCAACTTTATTTTCTATGAATAAGGCAATAAGTTTCTTTTGTTTTTAATGTTGATTCGTTTTTTTATAAAAGTATAGCTGATGGCAAAACTCACGAGTGTTTTTCTGCCATGAAAAACAGCTTCTCATAAAAATACAATCGTCGTTCGGAGTTGGCGTAAAACTGCAGGTCCCTCCCCCTTGTGTGACAACATCAAGGCGGCCGCCAAACAGGAGGAGAAGCTCGGCCAAACACTAACATATGTGTAAGCGCCAATCTATTACACTGTACAGCACTCGGCTAGGTGTTAGACCAAACCAACTTTTTTAAGAGATTGAGTCGTAAGTAAAAACAGTTTTACGAACCTAGCCTCCGAAATCGAGATATGGGCCTTCGAAGTTCGAAATTGGACCTTTGGTAAAAAAGTATTTTTAATTATTTGGTATATAACTTTTTTTGTGAAAACTTATATTACAGGTGCTATAACGGGTCAATGGTCAGATCTTCGAAAAATTAAAAGCTTAATATTTCACAAAATTTTGAACTGATTTTTAATTCGTATCGTTGTAAAGGTGATTTAACCCCCTTACTTGTATACTTCGTAGATAAAAATTTGAGAAAAAATACATTTAAAGGAAAAAATACCTTTTTTTATATAAGAAATATATTTTAAACAAAAAAATTACTAACCTATTTTTAAAAAATTGGTATCGTTGTAAAGGCAATTAAACCCCCTTTCTTCTGATTTGCATATTTGTATACCTCGTGAAAAAAAAAATTAAAAAAAAAAAAACATTTAAAAAAAAAGTATTTTAAACAAAAAAATTACCCACCGACTGTTAAAAAATTGAAATTGAAAAATTTTTAATAAACTTTTCTTATCAAAAAAAAATTGCAACAAAATAACTAATTAGTAATACAATTCCCTATTTAAATAAAACAGATAATTTATAGTGTTTTAAGCGTTCATTCGTTCTTGTTCACCCACAGCCCTGTAAAAAATAAAGCAAAAGTATATGTAACATAAGTCTAAGTCAGGCCTTCCCGCGGCACCCTAAGGTGCGTATGCCTGGGGTGCCGCTAATGGTTAGAGTATACTAGTGACCATGGGCGTAGCCAGAACGAAATTTAGGGGGGGCCCATACAAAAAAAAATTCAAAACCAATAACTGACTTACTAAAAAATTTTTTTTTTATAGCTTAAAATTATTGTAACCAATAGAGGTAAATATGTTGTACAAAAAAACAAATAAACAGAAGTTCACAAAAGTTGATATAAAACTATTCGTCGATTTAAGTTGTTAACTTTTTAGGGCCAGTTCCAGAACGCCAGGTTATCTATTTAACTCGAAGTTTACCGGTTAAATTAATAAATTGGCTTGCGCAATCTATGGTAAGGAGTAAAATTAGAGTTAAATCGTTAAATATTTAGCGCAGAAATTTTCGAAGGTTAAGTTGCTAACTCTACATATGTCAATTCTGCCAGTAACAAGAATAAAAAAAATTGAGATTTCAAAAATGTTTAATGTAAAAAATATTTCTGAATATGTACATACATATGTATGTACTTATGTACATATGCACATATTCATTTTCCGCCTTCAACTCTGAAGTTTCGGCCAGTCTTGCGTGAAAAATATATGCCATTAAAATGCACCAAACGTATGCAGTGAAGAAATGTCGCTGGCCAATTTGCAGAGCAATGAGAAAGCATTTTATTTAATATTTACCATATTATTTAACTGTTCTGTTTGTATTTCAAATGTTATATTCAATTTCAAATAATAAATGTAAACAATTAACCAAATGCTGAAAAAGAGAGAGGGGTGCCTACTTAATTTAGAAATCCCTTGGGTTACTTAACTCTGGGGCAGCCTTCATTTCTGCAATACACTGTCGGGTTTAGGAATATAAAAAGTAAACTCTGAGCTACTGAGCTCTGTATTTATATATTTAACTCTGTAGGTTCTGCAAGTGGGCCTTACTGAGCATGTTTATTTTACGAGGAGGAAGCATTGAAAGCCTAACCCCGACCGTATGAGACTTTAACCCAAACTAAACTTCCTACCGTCATGTACCGTTCCCCTCCCGGTACCACCGTCAAGGATTTCGTCGGGATTATAAAACTGTGTGACTGATAAGGTTATGGATCTATTCTCTTCCTCTTCTTCTTATTTGGCGCTGTAACCGCCAAAGCGATTTTGACCACCTGACGTCAATTGGAAATGCCAAGTGAAGCCAGAATACTTTCAGAGCTGGGGTGTCGGCGTCCATTCGAACGACATGGTCAAGCCAGTTGAGCCGCTGTATTTTAATTCGCCATATACCAGCACGAGCATGATGAGTGATTCATAGTGTGGTTTTCGTACGTCGAGAGAGGACTTTACTCCTGAATTGCCTACTCAGTCCAAAGCAGTACTTGCGGCAAGAGCGATTCTGCGTCGGATTTCCATGCTGACATTATTATCGGTGTTAATGCTGGTTCCCAAGTAAACGAAATTCTCTACTTTCTCGAAATTATAACAGTCAAAAGTGAAGTGGGTGCCAAGGCGCGAATGTGCTGATTGTTTGTTTGATGACAGGAGATACTTCGTCTTGTCCTCGTTTAACACCAGACCCATTCGCTCTTCTTCCTTCCTTTTTCTTACCGATGACGTCAGTGTCATCGGCATAAGCCAGCAATTGTACGCTGTTGCAGTAAATTGTTACTAAGCGGTTTTGTTCTGCAGATCTTATTATCTTCTCCAACATCAGATTAAAGAAGTCACATGAAAGAGAGTCTCCCTGTCTGAAACCCCGTCTGGTGGCGAACGGCAACAGAGCAGAGCTGGTGGTATTGCTCAACGTCATTTTTCACAGCCGTATGAGTTTTGAGGGGATACCAAATTCAGACATAGCGGCATATAGGAAACTCCTTTTAGTGCTGTCGAAAGC